CTTCATGGTTCCATTCAAGCCAAGAAAAATCGAACCCCTTAACTCAGTTGAGTTTACTCGCTTTTATAGGGGATTAAGGGGGTGTAACTGCCCTCGAAATCCGCTCCTAAGTGGGTGACAATCCCTCAGAACGTGGGATAACGGTTTTGAGGCCGTTTGGCTTGTGTTTGAACAAGTCAAACGCCCAATCTGGCGTTCAGAACCCAACTTCGCCTCTTAGAATTAAGACGCGAAGTTGGGTGTTGGCTGAGCATTGATGAACGCGAGGGTCGCTCGCGTTTTGGTTTGTTGTAGCTTAGAAACGCGGGGGTCGGTGTTGGCTGGACCCCTACGAACGCGAGGGTCGCTTACATTTCGCTTGTTGTAACGCGGGTCCGACTCCAGCGTTTTGATGTTGTAACGCGGGGTTCGACCTTGGCGTTTTGATGTTGTGACGCGGGGTTCGACCCTGGCGTTTTGATGTTGTGACGCGGGGTTCGACCCTGGCGTTTTGATGTTGTAACACAGGGAGGACCTCCGCGTCTTGCCTTGCAGAGATTATCACCAAGTAATATCTTTTTGTCATAGCGTTGCAAAGATCATTGTCTTGTAATCTTCGTCTTGGCTCCTTGAGAATATGAGAGTCGTCAGATTGTAACTCCCGATGTTGATTGTGAAGGCCGTTGATTAGAGCTTTCATCGGTTGTCGTGAAGGTCGTCAGATTGTAACCTTCAGCGATCTACGTGAAAGTCTTCAAATTGTAGTCTTCTGGAAGTCGTCAGATTGTAACTTCCATCATCAGTGTTTGATGGGGGATAAGCTATCTATTGTGATTTTTAGACAGCCTACAAATATCTGGAACCACCCTTGGAAGTTGTCGAAGCCGGACCCCAAACATCCGTGTACACATAATCTAGTATCCCTCTGCTCTTGTGATTGCTTCTCAGGAATTGAACCCTGTGCGCCTTTCCATACACACAGTCCTCGCAAAAATCCATGCAAGGCTTCTTCAGATTCTTCAGCAAACCCTCCTTACCAAGCAGATCCAGACCCTTCTCTGACATGTGCCCAAGCCGCCTATGTCATAACCGTGTGTGCTCACATAGGTCTCCACCACTTCCTTCAGCTCCAACTGATGCATCTCCCGTCACCGTCGTACCCGAGAGAGTATATAGATTACCGTGACGAACACCCTTCATCACTGTTAAGGAACCCCGAACAACCCTCTTCACTCTGTTCTCTGTTATAATCTTGCAACCCCTGGAGTCCAAAGCTCCGACTGAGATGAGATTCTTCCGCAAGCCGAGAACGTGTCGTACGTCCGTCAGGGTTCGAACCACTCCATCATGCATCTTGATTTTGATATCACCTAGCCCCACCGTTTTACAAGCATGGTTGTTCCCCATCAATACGGTTTCACCATCAATGCTCCTGTAGATAGTAAACCACTTACTGTTTGGACACATGTGGTAAGAGCAACCAGAATCAAGAATCCACTTCCCGGATGTATCCTCGCCATCCGTGAAGACATAGCATTCCTTATCGCTCCCATCCTCTGAAGCGTAGCTCGCCTCTTCCTTGCCTTCTCATCTTTCAGTCTTGTTGTTGTTCTTTTTCCCACCTACTCTCTTGTTAGGACAATCGACCTTGAAATGCCCAACTTCACCGCATTTGAAACACGCTCGTCCCGCAAGAGGTCTCGATTTAGATCTAGACTTTCCTCCCTTGCCTTTTCCTCGCTCATTGCCTCTTCCTCTGGCAAACAGTCCCTGCGCTTGTTCTTTGTTACCACCAGTGGCCATATCACTAGTTGCAATTTTTCGAAGATCATCCGCTAGAAGCGCCGTTCTAGTTTCATCCATCGATAAAGTATCACCCACAAGCATCAGTGTTTGTACCAGGTTCTCATAAGACTTCGGCAGAGATAAAAGTAGTAGAAGCGCCTGTTCCTCGTCTTCCACTATCACCTTAATGTCTTTCAAGTCTGATAAGATCCTATCAAACTTGTTGATGTACTCCCGGATTGACGAGTCCTCCTCCATCTTACAAGTATATAATTTGGATTTTAAATAGATCTGGTTCGTTAGACTCTTCGTCATGAAGGTGCTTTCTAACTTCAACCACACACCCGCAGCCGTTTCCTCACCGTCTACCAAGAAAGCTACATCCCTCTCAAGGCATAGGATAATCGACGCTCGTGCTTCCAGATCCAGCTCCTCCCAATCCTTATCAGACATATTTTTATGCTTCTCTCTTCCAGCCAAAGCCTTGTGCAACTTTTGCGAAATCAGCAAATTTTTCATCTGCATCCTCCAATGGGAAAAATTATTTTTCCCATTAAATTTTTCAATCTCGTACTTTCCAATTTTATTTGTTTTACTTGTAGAAGCCATTTTTCGCTTGTATTATGTCAATCCGCTTCTCTCAGGAATTTTTAACAATTTCTTTATGTTTTACCACACAATATTTAACCACCACCTCAGATCAGAAATTTTACCACCTCCAGTCTGAATAAGGGCTCTGATACCAATTGTTGGGGCGGAGTCACGCCCACCGCCGCGGAAGCGATATCACCTGAGAGATAGCCCTGGCTATTGTTGTCACAAAAGCACAAGTCAACCTCTATATTCTTGTTTCTCAAAGGAAACTAGAATAAATAGTGAAATTCTTATTTCTCAAAGGAAACAAGAATCGAAAGTGATATATTTCATCAAAGTGAAATATACACTCTTCCTCTCATCAGTTCAAGGACTGAAATATCGAGGGAACCTACAAGCTATGGCAACTCACAGATAAGACAAATACAAACACGAGATTTTTATGTGGTTCGGCAAACTAGTCTACGTCCACGGGAGAGGGTTTCACGATGGAGGAAAAATATCAAACTTATACAAGTTCTCTCTTCCTCTCTTTCTTTTCTCTCAAAACTCCACTTTAGATTTTTCCCACACTCATAACTCCTCCACCCCTTCTCTATTTATAGGAAAACCAAAGGGGGGAAAATCATGTTGTTTGGCGGGCTAGGACGGCGGGAATCAGAGCGCGCGCGGGAGGGAAAAAATTCCCGCGCCTGCTTTTGTACGCGCACACGCCTGCTCGTGGGCAGACGCCCACGTGGGTGGGCCCCCGCGTCCACAGTAAAAGAACGAAAAGTGGGAGAGCAGTCGAAGAGAGCGACCTTATCTGACTCGGGAGTACTCCTTTCTGATTAACTCCCAATCCCACAACCCCTCTGTCCGAATATAATGAGTACTAGGAAATTAACATTCTTGTATAGGAAGTTAATATTCATTTTATTGCACGTGCCACTCACGGGATTAAGTTAATTTTCTTATATAGTAAATAAGATTAAAAAAAAATAAAATGAATGATTTATAAAAAAAATTGAAAGGCAAAGCATAGGAATTTTTAAAATATAGAGAGAGGTAGACTAATTAAGATTAGATGGTGGAAAATGTTATTAGTAGTTAAATGCTAGAGCCCTTAGAATTTGCCAAATAGCAAAAACATGCAATGATGATTCTGATTTATTAGTACAGTATGATAAGATATTGGTTGATTGGAAAACAGGCTTATGTGCATGAAGTTCTTAAAATTTGCACTTCCATATTCTCGGGTGTGTAAATGTGAGAAAAAATTGCTTGAATTTCCATGTGGTTCTCACTTGCTAATTTTGAAATTTTAACACTTATTTTCTGTTAAATCTATTGTAAAGTTATACCAACTCTATTTCAAAATATAGTTGAAGTATGTTTAAGATAGAGTTAAAAGTAGATGTAGTAGTAAATTTAACATAAAAATGAGGATTGAAATAGATTTAGTATTAAAAAAATAGTTTATGTTCTTATAAGGCAAAACTCTAGTAGATATTGGGTCCTTAATGTTTGGAAGTCATCACTGGGGATCTTAACTTTACCTCCATCATCAGTTTAGGTTATTTTTACAAAATTCTATTAAATCTTGCTAATGTGACGATGCGTTGATGACATGGCATGTTAGCAAAAAATTAGTGAGATTTCCATTTCAATACAACCTTGTTATTTTACTATTTTTTGTTCATGCGTCTGAGATAAATTAACTTGGGACTTTCACTAATTTTTTAGTAACATGGCTATACCATATCATCACTGCGTCAGTAAAATTTAACAAAAGTTTGTAAAAAGGACATAAGGTGATGATGAAGATAACTTTATGGATCAATGACTTCCAAACAAACATTAAGGACACAAATAATATTTGGTAAATACCCTAGGGACCTCCATTAAAATTTTGCCCACTTATAACTGTGAGATAGTTGAACTATTAAGATAGAAAAGAAGGATAAATATCATCAAGCATGATCTTCGCAAATCCAATAGGTTCAAATTTGTTTTCCCAAAATAATTAGGCAGATATGGTTCGTAACACAATGTGAAGATAGATGTGTGTTGAACTAATCAATGTTTAGCATGTTAAACAACCTAAGAGCCATAGTGTGATATCCTAGGTGGAAGGGAATCCTAAGAGTCAAAGTATAATAAGTGGGATGATATTCTAAGAGATGACTCCTTGTATTCTATGAAAGTAAATGTGTAGAGTTAATGTATGGAATATGAAGGGTCATGTATAAGTCTATATAAACCCATGAGTGGGAGAATTTGATATATGAAAAAAAAAGAAAACATAAGCACCAAATTCTCTATCTTCTTCTACATCTCTCTCTCTCTCTCTAATTCTCTATCATACTAGCCTTAGCCAAAGTTTTTCTTCACTACTCAGTTCAGAATTACAACATGGTATCAGAGCTTCTTTACGACAACTGAGTGTTAAGAAACCCTACCTCTACAAAAACACCAACACAACTACCAAAACTCTTCCAAATAGCCTCCTCAAAATGACCAATACAACTGTCGATTCTCCAACTTCATCTCGGATTCAAGTGGCTGACCCAATAGTCATTGAGTCCGACCCAAAACCTACCTCCGGTGAGATATGAACACCGATCTTCTCCGGGGAGAACTACGACTTTTGGCGGATCAAGATGAGGACGATATTCAGAGCGCATGACCTTTGGAAGCTGGTGGAGAAGGGTTTCGAGGTGCCAGAAGACGAAGACTCTCTCACCTTGGCGGAGCAGAAGACATTAAATCTTAACTACATGAGGGATGCCAAAGCCCTCGGGTTGATCCAAAATGCCGTCTCCGACTCCATCTTCCCCAGGATCTCCAACGAGGAGACAGCAAAGGCGGCGTGGGACATTCTCCAAGAAGAGTACCATGGAAGTGAAAAGGTACGGGCGGTTAAGCTTCAAACTATTAGAAAAGAGTTTGAGCAAATCTCTATGAGAGTAGAAGAAAGACTCGATGATTTTCTTACTAGATTCACCAATGTTATAAATCAATTAAAAACATATGGTGAAGATGTAACAAATCAAAGAGTAGTTCAAAAAATTCTTATTTCTCTCTCTAGTAGATATGACCCCATTGTAAGTGTGATAGAAGAAACAAAAGATATGGAGAAGCTTTCATTACAAGAGGCAATCGCATCCATCAAGGCGTTTGACCAAAATCTTGAGAAGAGGAATGAAGCTTCTACCATGGAGAGAGCCTTCCAAAGCTTCAACATGAGCTCAAATCAACAACAGAGCCAGAAGCAAAAGAAGAAGAAGAAAGGAGGCAAGCCCAATTTTGATCCAAAGCCTCAACAACAACAAAAAAGTGGCAACTCACAACAAGGTAGCAAATCCACATGTAGAACTTGCGGCAAGTCTCACCAAGGGAAGTGCTGGTTCGAGGGGAAGCCCAAGTGCACCAACTGCTCCAGATTTGGGCAAACCAAAGAGCAGTGCAGGACTCAAGGAAATCAAAACCAAAACTGCCGGCAAGTCTTTGCAAACCAAGAAGAGGACGGCAAAGGTAATGTTTTCTTTGCTTGTCATGGAGGAAAAGATAGTGATGGTAGTCTTTGGTATATTGAAAATGGTTGTAGTAACCACATGACCGCGAACCGGTCACTGTTGATAGACTTAGACATATCCTATCTTGGTAGTGTAAAGATGGGAAATGGGAATATTGTAAAATCTGAAGGAAAGGGTATCTTGGCTGTAAATACAAAAAAAGGAAAAAGATACATCAAGGATGTAATGCTTGTACCGGGTCTAGAGGAAAATCTGTTAAGTGTAGATCAAATGCTCCTTAATGGTTATTTTCTAATTTTTGGTGATCAAGCAGTGAAGATCTATGATGATAGGAGTTTTAACAACTTGGTGGCAAAGTCAAGATGCAACCCAACAGAAGTTTTCCTCTCTCACTGCACTACTGGAACACTCAAGCTCTAAAGGTCGAAGAGGTGAACTCCTCCTGGCTATGGCACAAGAGGCTCGGACATCTCAACTTCCAAAGCCTCAAGACTCTTCAAAGCAGAGAAATGGTGTATGACCTCCCAACCATTGAAGGAGTTGAAGATGTCTGCTCCAGTTGCATGAAAGGCAAGCAGCATCGAGGCGAGTTTCCAAAGGAAGGAGCATGGAGGGCAACAAAGCCTTTGGAGTTGATCCATACAGACCTATGTGGTCCAATGAAGACGGAGTCCCTGGCCGGCAACAAATATTTTATCACTTTTATTGATGACTTTAGCAGGATGGCCTGGGTCTACTTTTTGAGGCTCAAATTAGAAGCTTTCACCATCTTCTATAATTTCAAAGCAATGGTGTAAAGACAAACAAACCTGGAGATCAAGAAGATTCTAAGTGATCAGGGTGGAGAGTACACTTCAGCAGAGTTCGAGGACTACTGCAGCAACCTTGGCATCGAGAAGCAAACCACATGTCCATACACTCCTCAACAGAACGGAGTGGCAGAAAGGAAGAACCGGACTATCGTGGAGATGGCCAAGAGTCTCCTACATGAGAAGAACCTTCCCTACAAGTTCTGGGGAGAAGCAGTCAACACCGCAGTGTACCTTCTCAACCGGTGTCCAACAAGAGCATTGGAGGACATGACCCCCTTCGAAGCATTCTCAAGTAGAAAACCTTCCTTAAACCACCTTAAGGTTTTCGGTTGTGTTTGTTTTGCTCACATCCCAGGCCAGTTGAGATCCAAACTGGAGGAGAACACAAGAAGGTGTATCTTTATGGGATACGCAAGCCATACGAAGGTCTACAGGCTCTTCAACCCGAAGACTCAAAAGATCGTCATCTCACGGGATGTGGTTTTTGACGAATCAGCCAAGTGGAATTGGGATCTCAAGAAGGAGGAGCAAGTGCCCACAAACTACATCTACCTAGATTCAGAAAGTACCCAAGATCCAGATCCAGAGCCAGAAGTGCAAACTCCACAAAACGTTTCGAGTTCAACAAGCTCCGACTCAACCACACCCAGATCAAGTGCTAACTCCTCAAGCACACCATCCAACTCTAGTCCCAGTTCTTCTTCCTCCTCAGGTACAACTCCATTAAGATACAGAAATCTTAATGAGATTTACGCTTTATGTAATTTTTGCATATTGGAGCCTGAGTCATTTGAAGAAGCCATCAAAGAAGGAGATTGGAAGAAAGCTATGCAGGAGGAGATCTCCATGATAGAGAAAAATGGCAGCTGGGAGCTGGTAGAGAAACCTACAGCCAAGCCAATCATCGGCGTTAAGTGGGTCTATAAGACTAAACTGAACCTTGACGGGTCCATCAACAAGAAGAAGGCACGGATTATGGCGAAAGGCTATTCACAGAAGCCCGGAGTGGACTTCAATGAAACCTTTGCCCCTGTCTCCAGACTAGAAACAATTCGTCTCTTGATTGCTCTAGCTGCTGACGAATAAGTCTACATCCATCAACCACAAGGGTTCGAAGTTGCAGGAGCCGAGGATAAAGTCTACAAGCTCCACAAGGCCCTCTACGGTCTCAAGCAAGCACCAAGGGCATGGTATGAAGAGGTCAACTCCTACTTCACCCAACACAACTTCAAAAGGAGCCTTAGTGAAGCCACACTTTACATTCGAAGAGATGGGATAGATATTCTCATTGTAGCTGTATATGTAGACGATATTATCTATACAGGCAACAGTGAGAAGCTTATGCATGAGTTCAAGAAAGACATGATGGAGGTGTACGAGATGACAGATTTAGGCCTCCTTCACCACTTTCTTGGCATGGGGATCCAGCAGGACGAAGATGGCATCATCATTCATCAACAGGCCTATGCACAGTCAATATTGAAGAAGTTCGGCATGGCAGACTGCAAGCCCGTCTCTACCCCACTGGTGGTCAGTGATAAACTCAAGAAGGGAGACGGTACCGAAGGAGAAGACCTCAACCTCTACAGAAGTATCATAGGGAGTCTCCTCTACCTCTCTAATACTCAACCTGATCTCATGTTTGCCTCAAGTCTCTTAAGCAGGTTCATGCATTGTGCAACAAGAGTGCACATGGGAGCTGCCAAACGGGTCCTTAGGTACATCCAAGGCACCCAGAATTTTGGGATCCATTTTAAGAAGAACTCCTCAGCAAAGCTATTCGGATTCTGCGATAGTGACTGGGGAGGTGATGAAGATGACATGAAGAGTACCTCTGGATACCGCTTCACACTCGGATCGGGTGTGTTCTCCTGGGCGTCGATGAAGCAGGAGTCTGTGGACCTATCAACTACAGAAGCCGAGTACGTGGCGGCTTCTCAAGCAGCATCATAAATCAAGTGGCTGAGGGATGTGCTTGATGACATTGGTGAAAAACAACTACAGCCTACTCCTCTCCTCTGCGACAACAAGTCAGCGATCGCAATGGCAAAGAACCCTGTCTTCCACCAAAGGACGAGACATATCAAGAGAAAATACCACTTCATCAGGGACGCGATCGTGGACAAGGAGATGGAGGTCATCTACTGCAAAACTAAAGATCAAGCTGTACACATTCTCACCAAAGCGTTGCCGAAGGATCGCTTTTGCACACTTCGAGAACTAATGGGTGTTAAACCTGCTAACCCCTGAGGAGGAGTGTTGAACTAATCAATGTTTAGCATGTTAAACAACCTAAGAGCCATAGTGTGATATCCTAGGTGGAAGGGAATCCTAAGAGTCAAAGTATAATAAGTGGGGTGGTATTCTAAGAGATGACTCCTTGTATTCTATGCAAGTAAATGTGTAGAGTTAATGTATGGAATATGAAGGGTCATGTATAAGTCTATATAAACCCATGAGTGGGAGAATTTGATATATGAAAAAAAAGAAAACATAAGCACCAAATTCTCTATCTTCTTTTACATCTCTCTCTCTCTCTCTAATTCTCTATCATACTAGCCTTAGCCAAAGTTTTTCTTCACTACTCAGTTCAGAATTACAACAATGCACAGGATGCACAGTAGATGCTCTTCTTCATCTCATTACGTTAGAATAGGGATTCAGAAAATGTTTCGTAAAGCTGACATTTACAACTGTAGGAGCATTAAAAAAAGATAAATCGGAAATCAGACATCGTTAAATTCTGATTCAGATCCATCTCATATTACTTTGTAGCCGCCGACAATTTCTTCACCCATAACTGCTGCATCAAGAGATACCTGAGCCATCAGAATCTTCGAACCTGCATATTTATTGTGGCAGTTAAGAGGAGGCCTGAAAGTTCAATTAGAGTCAGATCAATGGTAAAATATATACGTTAGTCGTTCTTCTTGCTTGGAGTGCTGAAGGTTTCTGCTACTGAAGTTGGGGGTTTGCTTGGATCTTAGACTGTTCGAAGCGGATCTACAAATGATCTTGCACATGGCCATCTAAAGAAAAAAATGCGAAGAGGGATGCATTTCAATAAGAAATAGTATTCCAATTAGCATTGTGATCTTCCACATTATTTTATCAGCTTAAGTAATATAGAAACCTTCAACCTGGTAGTTTGAGAGAAGCTGCATTGCTGGAACAAGGTAATTGATTACTGCCTCATAAATTTTCTGATGAGTCGTTCTGCCTTCACTGTAGTACATGCAAATGTTAAAGTTAATCACAACTCTGATGAGAAAATTTTGATCCATCAGAGATCACCTCTGTTGAAGAGCCTCTATAATTCTAACATACTCATCTAGCGAGCTTATTTTATATAGTGAGTCATTATCATCATCATCATCAGACCAAACCTAGGCGGTTGGCTCTCTATGGAGCAGCAATCAAGGCAATGATAAAAGGGATTGCATTTGAACAAAATTAACCAGCTTTTCTTCTGGCAGCACGAGTAGAAGAAAGCCTCTTTGCCCCGAGGCGAAAGCCTCTTTGCCCCGAGGCGAAAGCCTCTTTGCCCCGAGGCTTTCATTGGGAGACCACGATATGAGGGAACCACTAACAGCACACCATCTTAGGCTGAGTAAAGCTGCAGCAATAAGTTCCTGAGAGTATTCCTCAAAAATTTCAACAATCTTTTGATTCAACATCTAGTTCTTCATTGTAGAGAAGATCCTCATATGCAGTCTTATAATCCCTAAGGATATTCTCACTTCAGAGATCATTTGCAAGCTTAGAACTTGCAATGCTTCCATAGCAGTGCTGTGAAAACCACATTCCACATAGGCACAGAATGTGTACCGACATGTTGACCGATCTGGTTGGATCTGTTCTCTGTGAATGAGCTCAACGATAAGCTCAATTATGTCGATTCGGCCCTGATGTAATCATCAGCCAACTAAGTTCAGTTGGTTCATAACACTAAAATGCTCATAATGGATACAACAAGTAGGCATTATTTTGGCATTATTACCTTTTGATTTGCTTGTTTCAAAATTGTAGTAGACAGTTGGATATCAAGTTCATGTTCTTCAGATCTCACTTGATCCAGAAGACTCATTGGTGAGTCAAAATCGTCATTAGCTAAAAGGACCTAATAATGAATTGTTGGGGGCAGAGTCACGCCCTCACACCACGGAAGCAATATCACCCGAGAGAAAGCCCTGACTTTTTTTTCCACAAAAGCTCAAGCCAATCTTTATGTTCCTGTCCGCGAAGAAAACAAGAACAGAAGTGAAATATCTCAACAAAGTGAAATATACATTCTTCCTTTCATCAGTTCTAAGACTGAATTGTCGAGAGAACCTACAAACAATAACCAACACCCAGAAAATAATAAATACACGAGATTTACGTGGTTCGGCAAACTTACCTACGTCCACGGGAAATGAGAAGAGGAGATGCCACAATGAGGAGAACACTGACAAATTATACAATCCACAAGCTCGTCTCAAAAGAAGAAGATTTGATTTTTATCCAAAAGAAATTGACATTTCTCTTGTAAAATCTCTCCAAAACTCTCTCCTCAAGATCTCTCTTTTCTAGCCGCCAAAGAAACCCTTGTTTTCTTCTCATCTAAAA